TCTTTCTTATGCCCACTCTGTTCAAAACTAAATAGTATTTCTGTTCCTATCTTGATATAAACAGAGTTGATGAGTATCACTACTGCTGCATGTTTGGCTATACTTAATTCTGTTGGAAAAATTCCATTGGTACAAATGCTGAGAACAAATAACTGTAATATAACAATGTAACATAATACAATGTAATATAACTGTAATAAAAATAATAATAAATAACCAATACATGTGCGGTAGAACATATAACGTACATGCAAATCGCCCGGCAGACGTAACACGACTATAACAACAATCCACGGAGGAAAGTGGAATACAATATAACGTAATGTGCGTGTGAGAAACATTAAGCGTTACATGTTGCGGGTGAGAATATAAGTACATCGTCGAGAACATATAACGTTAATGTACGCGTAGAAGAACATTATAACGTAAATTGTGCGCCGTGGAGAAAATATAACGTGACTGTTGTGAAGCATATAGTACATGTGCGCCGTCGAGACATATACGTAAATGTGCGCGTGAGAACATTTAACTACATGATTGGGTGAGAACACTATAAGATATATGTGCGAAGGACTGTGAGATACATATAACGTACATGTGAGAAATATAACGTACATGTGGCGTGAGAACATATAACGTAATGTGGCAACATTTAAGTAATGTACATGTGAGAACATATAAGTATGTGAGACATATATAACCGTACATGTTGAGAACATATACGCTAACATGTGCGCTGAGAACATTATAACGTACCATGTGCGGTGAGACAATAACCGTACTTGGCGGTGAGAAATTAAACGTACATGTGAGAACAATATAACGTTACATGTGGCCGTAGAACATATAACGTACACGTGAGAACATAATTAACCGTACATGTGGCGTTGAGAACATATACGTACTGTGAGACATATAACGTGATGTAGCGTGAGAACATAATAACGTACATGTGTGCGTGAGAAATTAACGTACATGTGTGGTGAGACATATACTGTACATGTGCGCGTTTGAGACATATAACGTTCATGTGAGAAATATAGTACATGTGTGCGTGGAGAACATATAACGTTACATGTGTGGTCGAAGGACATAGTACGTACATGTGCGCGTGAGAAATATTAACGTAATGTGTGCGTCGAGGACATATAACGTACATCGTGAGCAGTGAGAACATATACACGTACATGTCGCGGTGGAACCATATCAGTACATGTGGTGTGCGTGAGAACATATAACGTACATTGTGCGCCGTGAGAATTTAACGTTACATGCGTGGTTGAGCAATATAAACGTACATGTAGCGGTGGAACTATAAGTAATGTGAGAACTATAAACGTACTATGTGCGCCGTGAGAGAACATTATAAACGTACATGTGTGCGTTCAGTAAACATATAACGTTTAATGTAGCGTTCAGCAAAATATAAAAGTTTTATATGTTGCGCGTGTGAACATATACGTTACATGGTTGCGCGTGAGAACATATAACGTACATGTCGCCGGTAAGAAAACATATACGTACATGTGCAGAACAGTATTAACGGACATGTACGCGTGAGAACACATATTAACGTAACTTCGTGCGCGTGAGAACATATACACGTACATGGTGTTGAGAACATTAGTACATGTGCGCGTGGAAATATAAGCGTAAGTCGTTGCGTAGAGAAATATAACGTCATGTGGGACAATATAACGTACATGTGCGCGTGAGAACATATAACGTACATGTGCGCTGTGGAAATATAAAGTATGTGGAAATATGAGTAATGTGCGCGGTGGAAGAACATATAACGTACTGTGAGAACAATATAACGTATATGTGCGGTAGGGAACATTAACGTACATGTGCGACGTGAGAACATATCAACGTACATGTGCGCGTTTAGAGAAATATAACGTACATGGGAGAACATATAAGCTAATGTGCCGTGTTGAGAACATTAAGCGTCATGTGGTGTGAGAAATTATAACGATAAATTGTGGCTGTGAGAAACATATAAACGTAATGTGGCGGCGTGAGAGAACATATAACGTACATGTACGCGTGAGAACATTAACGTACATGTTGCGCGTTGAGACATATAACGTACTGTACGGCGTGGAAACATATAACGTACATGTGTGACGCGTAGAGAGAACATATAACGTACATGTGATGAACATATTAAAACGTACATGTGCTGCGTGAGACATACTGACGTACATGTGAGAACAGTATAAGTACATGTACGGTAAAGAACATTAGCGTACATAGCTTGAGAATATACGTATATGTGGCGTTAAATTAGAACGTATAACGTTAGATGTGCGCGTTCGAGAAATATAACGTACATGTGAGAAATGTATAACGTGATATGTGCGCGCGTCGAGAACATATAACGTACATGTTGCGCAGTGAGACATATTAACGTATATGTGCGCCGTGAGAACATTATAACGCTATGATGTGGCGCGTTGAGAACATTAAAGTACATGATGTGAGAACATATAACGTTATATGTTGCGCGTCGAGAACATTATTAAGCGTACATTGTTGGGTGAGAACTATAACGTATATGTGGGTTGAATAACATTAGTATCATGTGAGAATATAAAACGTATTATGTGCGCGTAAGAGAACATATAAGTATATGGTGCGCCGTGAGAACATTAAGTCTACATGTTCGCAGTGAGAAACATTCATAAGTACATTTGCGCGTGAGACATATAACGTATTATTGTGGCGCGTGAGAACATATAAGTACATGTGCGCGTTGAGAACATATTAACGTATATGTTAGCGGCGTGAGAACATATAAGCGTAATGTGAGAAATATAACGTATATGTTAGGCGTGAAGAACATATAAGTACATGCTGAGATTTATAACGTATATGTGCGACGTGAGAACATATAACGTACATTGTGTGCGTGAGAAATATACGTTCTGTTGCGTGTGGACATATAAGTATGTGCGCGATCGAGAAATATAACGTAATGTTGACGCGGTGAGAACACTATAACGTATATTGTGCGCGTGAGAACATATAACGTTACATGTGCGCTGTTGAGACATATAACGTACATGTGCGCGTAGAGAAATCTAACGTACGATGTTGAAGTATATAAACGTACTTGTGCGCTGTGAAAATTTATAGTACATGTGCGTGTGAGAACATATAAGTTATGTGCGCGTGAGAATATAAAGACATGTTGCGCGTGAGACTATAACGTACATGTGAGAACATTACGTACATTGCGCCCCGTGAAAAAATATTTAACGTTACATGTGCGCGTGAGAACATATTAAACGTACATGTTGCGCGTGAGACTATAAGTATATCTGCGTGTGAGAAATCTACGTAATGTACGCTGTGAGAACATATAACGGTATATGACGCGATGAGAACAGTTAACGTAATGTGCGGCGTGAGAACAATATATAATGGTACGTGTACGCTGTTGAGGAATGTTCTAAATGACTTATATGTTCGTAATGACTTAACAATTCAATGTTCTTTATTTGTTTAGTATGACTGACACGCGTAACAACTATGTAGATGTGAGCTGTAATAGAGGATACAGTAAACTGTGCGTTGCTGTCGTTGTAGAACCGCCCTCGATCACAGACAACACGCCTGAAGAGTTGAGCACTGTAATCGGACAGAGGGTCACCCTACCATGTCCAACATTCGGTCTGCCTACTCCCGTCATCACGTGGTACAAGGTGAGAAGCCATGTGCATCACTCCTATACTCGGCATCAGAAATGTACGAATAGAAACTATGTATTCAGTTCATTTATTATTTGCTTTAAAACTCTGTATCCTGTATAGACATTAGTTAGACATTTGTGTAGACATTTTATGGACACGTAGAGGTAGAATTTGAATAGAGTTGTTAAAGTTTGTTAGCGTGTCGTGTAGACTTTAGCTTTCAAGAATTACGTTTTAATGTGTTTTTTTTTGCGTTTTTCTTTTTGTGTGCGTGTCTGTGTGTGTGTGCGTCTGTTTGTGTGCATGTGTGCGCGTGCGTGCGTGTTTCTATGCGTAATTTTGTGCGTGTGTGTGTGTATGTGTACGTATGTGTGTGTGTGTGTACGTATGTGCGTGTGTGTGTGTGTGCGTGTGTGTGTGCGTGTGCGTGTGCGTATGTGCGTATGTATGTATGTGCGTGCATGCGTGCTTCTGTGTGTACACGTGTGAGTGCAGGAGGGAGCGCAGATCACCGATGACGACAACAGCACCAAGCTTCTGCGCTTCGGCTCGCTGGAGATGCTGAATGTGTCGGCGGCCGACGCCGGCGTGTACACGTGTGTAGCAAGCAACCCGGCTGGCAACGCCTCGAACGACATCACCTTCAACGTGCTCGGTGCGTGAGTCGACACGCGCATGCACGCACGCGCACGCACGCACGCGTTCATGCACGCACGCACACATGCGCATTCATGCACGCACACACGCACGCACGCACGTGCTCGTGCACGCACGCACGCACTCACGCATTCATGCACGCACGCACACACGTGCACATACACGCACACAAGATAGATATATTAGATTTTATATCGTTATTTTTACATCTCGTGAAAATAATACACTGCGTAATTTCCTTGCAGACATTCACGAGCTGTTCAGCACCGCGTTACTGACTTAATGACTTACTAATTGAATGTTCTTAATGACTTAATAATTGAATGTT